GAGGCCTTTCAGTCTTTGACGCAATCAGCCCAACGGGGGGGGTGGGTTATACTTTACAGACCCAGCAGGTATTGGACACATTCTCGACAGAGGACGAATCCCCCCGCATTAAGGGGTTTTTCCTAGAAGCAGGGCTGTCTTAAGACTGTCCTGTCAGCCTGGATTTCAGGAGACCAGAAAAGATCAGTTGGGAGTTAGATCCTGGGAGTTAGATCTTCGGCTCTGAGGATGGGCCTCCCGCACACGCATCCCGGCAGGTGGCTGGGACACCGCAGCAGTGTCCAGGGGCCAGGGAGCGTGATGGGCTCCCCAGAAGTCATGGTAACCACATTCTAGCTGGTTAAAGTTGGCCTGTCCCCCTAACGACCCCCCCCCCCGCCTACACACACACACACACACACACACACACACACACACACACACACACACACACACACACACACACACTCCCGCCTGGGGCACCCAGCATTCACTTGCGTCACATGCGGAACTCACTTCCAACCACAAGAGGGCGCCATTGGTCAGAACACATTTTAACATTCTGCCGCCCAAGTTCCTCCTCAGGCTTTCACCTGTTTCCGCGCTTGGCTGGTGCTTGGGTTTGTTCCTATAACTAGGACACAGTATGTTGGAAACTGTGCATATGGCCAGGCTTGGAATACAAGCTGCTCCCAGGTGACGGCCCTCCTGGCTTCGTCTCCTGAAAGCCCTGCCTCCTGCGAAGGGGAGAGAACAGGTGTGGGAACTGACCCGGCAAGCACACAGGGCACAGCCGCGGGTTCCTCTGTTTTGTGAGGCCCTCAGCCTATTGCACCCTCTCGAGTGATGGTTAAACGTCCAGACCCAGCAGGTATCGGCCACGTGCTCGAGAGAAGATGGATGCCTGGCCCCTGCTGTTCTGGGAAGGCGTGTCCCCCGCCCCCACCCCGGGTATCTCGGCCTGGAGAGGGCAGTGACCTCCCAGTCCCTCGGGACTTCTTCCCAATTGCCTCTCCTCCAAAAACATCACCGGGCCTGTCACCAATGGCAACACCTCCCCTTTCCACCGACCCCCTGACGGCTCACTCCCCGCCCTCCAGCATGACACGATGCCCCCAAACCTCTGCATTGCCCTCTCTGTTCATCCTCGGGGCCTTCACTTCACTCCACCTGAATATCTCCTTGTGGTGTTGGGGGTTGCCCCCTCCATCCTACCCTCCTTTCCAAGTTCGAGGGGTCTAGCAGCCACCCCCAGTGTCCCAGCCTCCCCTCGGGCTGCTCAGACACCACACCTCCCCACACAGGAAGTCCTCAGGGCTTGTCGTGGAACTTGCAATCCTGGTGGGTCTTTGGACTGGCAGCATCAGCAACGTGGGGGGTTTGTTAGATATGCACGAAGGGGGGCCCCACTTTGGCCTCCTGAGTGTGAATCGGCATTTTAACAGACTCCGGGAGTCATGGGTGCACGTTGTAGCTGGAGGAGCAGGCCCATGTCATCACGCCCCCTCCACCCCTCGGCTCTCCCCACCAAGGCCATTCTCTCTGCAAATGCCTTTCCTCCTCGGTCACCCTGGTTTCTCTTTGTGTCCCCCGCCCATCCCTGCTCTGTGATAAATTGGGTTTAAACCAGAGGAGGCGGGGGGGGAGCAAGTCCCACACGCTCCCAGCCGGCCTGGGGACCAAGACGCAGCTCAGCCAAGAACTAGACAAATGTGATGCCGGGTGACGGCAGACCTCGCTCCCCGGGAGGAAACGGCCCAGCCCTTGCTTCTGGACTGTTCTCATGCAGCTCCCTGCTCCCGCCCAGCGAAGGGAGGTCGGACCCACAGCTGACGGGCCTGTGTGCCCCGGCCTCCGAGGGCCACCCGGGCAGAGTTAGCAGGCGCATGGGCACCCAGGCCCATGAGCCCCAAGGTGTTAGAGGAGACACCAGCGAGTGGTGAACCCCAGAAACAGTTTACTCCAGCTCTGTGCCTCTTTTGATTATTTAGGTCAAAAGTGAGCTCATCAGCCTCACTCAGCTGCTGGGCAGCTGGCCAGGGCGGCCCTCGGATCCAAGTGTTTCCAGGTTGGAGGCCAACATCTGTGTGCTGCGGGCCACGTGTGCCCAGGGTCCTGAGACACTGCGTGTGGCTGCCAGATTCTGAACTCTTGCCCCCTGTTTGCTCCCCTGCCACTACCTTCAGCCGTCAGCCCACGGCCCGGCACGCCAGGGTCCCCCTTGGAGGCAGCTTCTGCAAGCATGAAGCGCCCCATCTCCTGGGCATATGAGATCATATATTTGGGAGTGGAGAGGGGGTGTAGCAGGGCTCCCTGAGCTCCAGGTCCTTCACGCATGTGGGCAGATCCAGACCCTCCTTAGCCAGCTGGTGGGTGGAAGGATGGGACCCTGAGGGCTGCTGAGCCTCGGCTCCTGGGGGTGGGCATCTCACACGGCCTTGCTCTGCGGCTGCAGCCATATGGGCACACAGGAGGCTTGGAGGGTCTACATCTTACATAAGATGCCTTATGTTTGTTAAGTCTAGGCACCTCTGAGTCACTGCTCCCAAAATATGGTGAGAGGCGAGATGCAAGGGGGCACGGAAGAGAGTTTTCCTGGCCCCGAGCTGGGTTCTGGTGTGTGGGCATCTTCGCTGTCTGCTTCTGAGGTCAGGCCCCCTCAGCATGTCCCCCGACACCTGGGAGTGGTGCAGGGACCCCTGGAGAGGAGGCCCAGCCTGGCCTGGCATTAGGGGGAAGCCCAGGGGTGGGAGGGGCGGGATGAGTGTGCTTGGCCCAGGAGGCAGCATGCAGACAGCTGAGAGCCCTGACTCCCAGCCAGACCATGGGGTTCACTCCGTCTGTGCTCACTGGCTGTGTGATTTTGGGCAACTTAACCCCTCTGTGTCTGTGTCTCCTCTCTCAGCTGTCTCATAGGGTTGTTATGAGGATTAGAGAAAGAATATCCTGACAAGCTTTTAGTTCAGTGGCTGGCCAGTAGCAACCCAGAAGAACAAAAGGAGGGTCCGGGCACAGGACTAGGGTTTCTGTTCCATCTCAACGTCCTACCTTAGCAGCCCAGCCCGAATCAGGCAAGTCGGCCAGCCATCTTTGTTGAGCCCTTGCTGTTGGGTACAGTGGGAGCAAGACCACTGTGAATCTAGGTTCCTGGCACTGAGACTTCAGTGATACACAAACAAAACAACAACAAAAACCCTGCTTCCATAAGAACTGAGCCAGCTCAGGAGTTCTGCGTGGAGCGCCCTGTACAGTGTGAAACACAATCACCGCCTTCTCGCCACGCGAGCGCGTGAGCTCTAATAGCAACAGCGGACAGGCTATTCTGAATGAAAGCGGGTGAGGACTTGCACACTCACCGAGGCCTCTGCTGTTGTGGACCCAGATTCCTATACCCGGAGCCCTTCGTCCTCCAGTGTGGATAAGAGCATAGAATCCACAGCCCGCTCACCCAGGTGTGCATTCTGTGTCACTGTCGCCGTCATTCCATCTGAGGGCCGGGGAGGATTTGGGATAAGACAGCTCTGGCTTTATTCCATGGCGTTTACAGCAGGCTTTCGCACACTGCAGAATTTCTATTTGTTGCATGTCATTCTGACTTGCATTTCAACCCACAAGTGGCTCCCTTCGGTTCAGAGACTTGGAAGTTAGCGCTTCCACTCGGCGCCTAGGCCTGCCCTCCTCTCGCTCCCGCGTGGATTGGCTGGCAGTGGCAGCTGCTGGCATTGCACAATTGGCTCGGATGTGGGCTGCACCGGCGGAGGAGGCCCTCCTGGTTTCTACGCTGTGACTCAGGCTCCTGTGCTGGGCTAAGTCAGGACAGAGGCTGTCACTCCACAGCGGCTCAGTGTTATCTCTGCCACAGATGTTGCTGTTGCAAGGAGCCCTGTCTCCTCTTCCGTTTCCACCAGATGCTCCTGAGCCTTCAGATGCCTGGGGGCTTCTCTCCCATGGTTGCAGCAAAGCCAACAAGAGCAATTCTCTAACGTGGGCGAGCACGAGGACCTCAGCTGCTAGGACTCGTGTAACATGTGGACCTTACAGTGTGTCCTGGAGGATTTAGCCAGCTGGTCAACCCAGCAGAGAAAATGATTCGGCGCTTACTGTGGAACAAAAACTGAATAAGCTCCAGGAAGGATGGGTTCTGCCTGGATCTTTGCCTTGCGAGATGGTTGTTGTGAGGTTGGGAAATAAAACACAGAAAATATTGGTGCATCTTTAGATAAGAGCAAGTCCTGGAAATTGCCCGGACGAGGCTCATGGAAATGCTGCAGTCTGCTCAGACGCCTACTTGGCACGCGTTTTACCTTGCAGCGCGGACGTGGCATAAGGATCCTAGGAGGAATCGTTTTATCATTAGATTTTCTTAGAGATTACGCAAAAGCCCGTCTCCCTGCTGCACACGTTAATTGCAGATATTTCTCCCCCTCGTTTCAGCTTGCAAGATGCTGGCATCGGATTCATCCTGGTCATAGACCGAAGGCAGGACAAATGGACCTCCGTGAAGGCGTCAGTCCTGCGAATAGCAGTAAGTGTCGGCGCCCCGGCTCTGTGACGTCCCACCTGCTCTTCTCCTGGGCTTGGGGATAGCAGCGTTTCACTTCTGGTGACCCTTCTGCCTGGGTGGCAGTGTGGGTTCTAGCTGTCACTGTGGTGCAGCGCCGAGGCGTACAGCCAGCTCAGAGCACCGCCCGGGTGGCCTGAGGCCTGGAGTCCCACCTCCTTGACTTCAGCAGTTGCTAAGGCGTGTGTGTGTGTGTGTGTGTGTGTGTGTGTGTCTGCGCACACACATGGGTGTGTATGCACACGTGTGTGTGTGTGTGCGTGTGTGTGTGTGTGTGTGTGTGTTCTCAAATGGGTTAACTCTTAGGCGGCCTGTTTTAATTAGAAAACAATTCCACCAGCTGGCTTATTTCTGACCATTGAGTATGTGAGCTGCCCAGGATTTACTGTGTACTCATTCTTTAATAGAGCACAAAGTCCTGAGTAACAGGGCACTGAGTGTGTTACAGAGCGTCTTCAGGCTACAAGTTTTAACTATATCGAATAGCTTCTTCTACGTGACCCTCTCCTTTCCGTGGACTGTGTATTCCATAGTTTTACGACTGACTCAGATGCCTGTGTCTTTCTTGGGAACCCCATCCTGCACTTGGTAACCCTCGCTGCCAAGGAATTTATCTTTACGTCCGTGGAGCTGTTTTGCAGCCTGTGTGCCACCCTCCAGGGCAGAACAGCTGGTCTGTGTCCTGGCTGTGTTTAGCTTGCCGTGATTATTTAGGAGGGAAGAGTTAAGTCAGCAGGGAGCCCTGAATCTTATTTTTGCCAGTAGCTTCCACCCCCGCTCACGATCTCCACTGTGGAGCACTGCTCACCACACTGGGTTCCACCCACGCTCGCCTCCCAGCCGCCAAAGGACCGAAAAGCGATTGTTGGCAAGCAGGGTGACCCAGAGCGACTTGGACTTGGCCGGGTCTCCCTGGGCGGTGATGGCTCCGCTGCTCCCAAGCGTTTCTTAAAAACCTAATGCCCGGCGGAGTGAAATTCTCCTCCCCTCTTGTTCTGGGTCTTGCGTTCAGCCATCTTTGGTTCTTGGCCTCAGAGAGGCTGCTGTGGTGGGGTTCTGGGTAGAGTGGAAGAATCGACTCCTTCCTTACATTCTGCCTCATTATTTCATCTTAACGATGATTAAAGGCTCGGGGTCTGCTCTGGCTCCTACAGTTCACATCGTTTTGGGGCAAGCCTGTTCTTTACTACTGGATCCCACCTGTGTCTTTGGGATAAAGCGTCTCCCTGCACCGCCCCAGGTGTCCCCTGCCCAGGCCCCCCCTGGCACACACTTCCCATGACCTCATTTATCTGAAACAGATCAAAACACTTCAGAGCATTTCCAAAGACGTCAGTGTGTTATGTCAGCGATTTCCAACCTTTCTCATCGCATGGAACACGTGAACTGCAGCACACCAAAAAATATATATTGTTTGCCGACCTGACAAAAAATAGTTATAATTTTGATTCATTCACACCTATGCCTATTGTTGTGTTGGCCATTGTCAGTTTTTTATTTGATAATCTAAGGGAAAAGAGGTCAGCCCCCCGACTAAATAGATATCACATGTTTTAAAAATTCTTACAGCACACCGGTTGGAAAAAAAATCACTGTTATATAATCAGATTTCCTTTGTTTTAAAATCCTCATAAACTTACAGAGTACTCTTTTTTAAAGAGTGTGGCTTTTTTTTTTCTATCCTTTTTCCTGTAAGTCACAGAGTTCCCCAGTACTGGTTTGGAAATCCCAGAAGTCAGCATTTTTCTAGCAGAATTGTCAAAGATTCTCATTGCACTCTGATGCTTCTTGTTATAAAAAATTACTGATATCAATGCGAAAAATTCTATTAATGTATTGAACACATTTGTGAAAACCCTGTTCTGTGCCTGGAACGTGAAGGTGTTGGGGACATAAGGGGAGAAGAGCAAGCAGGGTGCAGACAGCTGACAGACATTGTGGTCAGAGTTATGCCCAGAGACACCAGAAAAATATATAGGGGTGCCTGAGACAGCACAGGCCATAGGGGTGGGCAGGACACTACGAGCCAAGCCCTGCTGCCTTCCTTGAGCATACATCCACCTCTGAGCCAGGGTGTCGGTCTGATCTCTACCATGGCTCTGTGGTAGGACCAGGAGGTGGGAGACAGAACTGGCGCCAGAGCTGGTACTCATGCTGCCACCTTCAGCCAGGCTATACTATATCCAAGGGGGCTCTGGGAAAACAACCACCCAGCACCCGCTAGGCCAGCACCCTCGGGAGGAATCGGCACATGGGCGGCTCCAGGGTGCACAATTCCACGGGGGCACCTGGCCAGCTGCAGGTGCCACAGAAGCAAGTCGGTGGCAGCGGCTCTACTCATCTCCAAGGGTGTCTGGACCCCCGGTTGAGGCTCAGCCCTTACATAACACCACGTAGTTCAGGGCTATTTTTTGCCACCATGTGTACTGTCTCCTGAGCTGAGCTTTCCTTAATTTGGGGTGTTCGTTTTCCTTTCTTGGATGCCTTCAGCTTGGCTTGGAAGAGAAGAATAAGGCATTGGAGGAGCCAACGTCTAATGTTCCTAAAATCAGACTTGCTGTGCCTCCATCCAAAACAGAGCCTTCATCGGCTCTCATGGGCAGTGGGGGCAATGGGTGCTCTGACCTGGCACAGGTCAGGCTCTCTACCGGTGGACACAAGCAGAAACAAGACTCGAAGCTGAGAATTCAAGCATCACTCTTTGTTTGTCCAACAGTTGGTTCAAAGTTTGGACTGTCCTGGGATAGATGCCTCTTTGATAAAATACCAGTGTATGTCTTCTAGGATTCCACTTCAAGTTTTAACCCACTCTTACTACGTCTGTGTGTGTGTGTGTGTGTGTGTGGTGTTAGCATGGTGGAGGGTTGTAATGGAGTGTACATATTTAAGTTTAGAGCTAGCCTAATTCAGGCTCAATCTATGTCCTAGGGCATGCCATTGAAGGAAATTGCAGTTCAGGTCGTTTCAGTCCGCGTGGGGAGAACTCAGGGTTTTGCCTGTAAAGCCAATGCCATCTGTGTGTGCACAAAGTGTCTGAGGGACCCAGGAATTGTAGGGCATTCAGTAAATACACCATGTGTGGTAAAATAATATTATGTTAAACAATGTTACTAAATGCCTACTGCATGCCAGTTCCCGGAGGTCTAAGCAGAGGTGGTGATGCCAGGGGAGGGGAGGGTGTGGGCAGAGGCGCTGCTGGTCCCAGAAGAGCAGGCAGCCCAGGTGTCCCGATGTTGAGAGTATTCGGTGGAATGACTGTCCTTCCTTCAGAGATTACCCCCTTCCTACTCATTTTTCATTAAAATGTCTTTTCCTTAATGGTGTTTATGACCGTCTCAACCGTACTCACCGGGGGCTGGTCTTAGATGCCCCATCCGGCAGGCTTGCACCTAGACCTCCCCAGCAGCAGCCCCGGCGGCCGGAGGCCTCTGTTCACAGACAGCTTTTCTGATTCAGACCCTGGGTTTTTCATCTCCTAATACTGAGATCCACGCTTCCAAGTTCATATTTATTACACAAACTTGTGTTTGTTGTTTGGCTACTATGAGACAAATGTCATTGGTCAGGCTTCAGCTGCTCCACGTGAAATTAAACATCTCACGTCAGGCTGGATAACTGTGGCTTTGGCACAAGTTAAGGCAGTGACTTGAACTTGGGGAGGATTTCAAACAGCCTTCCCCCAAGCACCAGGGTTCCGCGGAACTTCTTCATCCATTGGCTCCAGTTGCGTTGCCTCTTCGTTTAGTAAGATTCTGAGAATATGAATTCAGAAGCCAGTTGAGTCCTCTTCATCTATCCCCAAATTGCACATGTAGAGTCATCACATCCTATGTGTTCCTAAGTCAGTCAAGGTCAGCCCCTGAAAACAAACAATATTGCTTTCATATGACACAGGAACCTATTGTAATCATTTTCTGATTGCTTGATTCATGAGTAAGTTGCAACAAGATGTTATGTTATAGCCTCCATCTCAAATCCTCCATCCAGTTACCTTTATATTTTTAAAATAAAGTTTTATTTTCTCCCAGATGGCTTTTAGTACATATGGTTGGCTCCAACCCAGAGAAAATGTAATTTACCGTTGTTTGTATTCAAAATATTGTTTGTGTATGTCACTAAGCCTTCTCACTTGGCTAGGATCTTACAACTACTCTCTTTAATATAAAGATTCAACAACTTAAAGAAATGGAAACACTAAAGCAGAGAAAATGAACCGGTTTTCACGTAGACAGTCACCTCCAGCCACAGGCTCAGCAAGGTCAGTGCCTCCTCCCAGGACGGGGCGAGCGAGGCCCACTGCCGGTGGCTTTCCTCGCCGCCTGAGCTGAGTTCATCTACGGGAAATCGCTGAAGGACCAGGGCACAGTTTTATCCTATGCATTCAAACCTGTACTTACAGAGCACATCTGCCCCGAGGTGTGAATTAGGGCGGCAAAAGCAACATTGACATTTAGAAAAGCGTGACTCGCTGTCGCCTCTAGAAAGAGACTGTCGTCAGGATGTCTTCCTTAAAGAGTGGGGGCCAGTTTCACAAATGATGGTGACAGGTTTGCACGGTCCTCCTGCTGGTAAATGGCCCGGAATCTGCCCTCGGGCTGCCGACTCTCCACGTGGTTCTCTGAGTTGTCTTTTCCGCTCGAAGGAGTCAAACTCAGTGACCATTGGCGGGAGTCAGCAGGGGCAGCACAGTGGAGAGCTCACGGCTCGCTGGGGTGCTTATTCACAGGCCCCTCCTGAGCTGCGGGTCCTGCTGTGAATATGGGTGGCTGTGCCAGGCACCTCCAGCGGCTGGGCAGAATGCACCTTGTGACAGCTCCCCTGGCCCACAGGGCTGCAGACACATAGCGAGCGCCTGCTAAGGTGCTGGCGACCGAGGACACATGGTCCCCGTCACCCGGGCTATGGCGGTGGTACGCAGACTCGCTGGGGAACCTGTGGGGAGGGTGTGTCTCAGGGATGCAGGCAGGAAGGGTATGTGCTCCACACCCAACCCAGAGGCCGCCATCACTGGAGTCTTAGCACTGCCCTCAAGGTTCCCAGATGGCAATGGAGGTGCCTGGCAGGCACTGAGGGCCTTCAGGTGGAAGCTCAAGGAGTGGCCGGGTCGCAGGCACAGCGTGGATGTCACCAGTAGGTGGGTGGCGGTGTTAACCCCGGATGGCGTAACCAGGGAATATCCATGGGTGCTGTGGGTTCTGGTGTGCCGATGGGCCGCCCCGCAGGTCCCTGGCTTAGGGTCTTCTGCCAGCCCTGCTTAGATGGGCATGGATGTTAGAGGTGGGCCAGGATGACCTCTGAGCCAAGGTATCTGTTTCAGGCCTTGGGGCTGTGTCATTCTGTTCGTGTATTACAGTGATGGCGAACCTATGACACGCGTGTCAGAGGTGACACGCGAACTCATTTTTTTGGTTGATTTTTCTTTGTTAAATGGCATTTAAATATATAAAACAAATATCGAAAATATAAGTCTTTGTTTTACTATGGTTGCAGATATCAAAAAATTTCTATATGTGACATGGCACCAGAGTTAAGTTAGGGTTTTTCAAAATGCTGACACGCCGAGCTCAAAAGGTTCGCCATCACTGGTGTATTATATTTTAGGTGCCTGTAGCCTGGTTATCCAGAAATCGAACTCACTTGCTTCAGAATTTCTTGTTTTAGTAATGGGGTCTCCCTGGATTTCAGCATCTGGAAGTCATCTGGCGTCTAGAAGAGCCTTTTACTATGTATCTGTCATCGCCAAGTTTTTGAGCGCTTCGTGTGAGCACTGTGCTAAACTCTGCGTGTACATTAAGTCACTTAACCCTCAAGAGAGCAGTGAGGAAGGCACTCTGTTACCTCTGCTTCAAAATGGGGAAACTGAGGCACGGGGAGGTTAAGTAACTTGCCCAAGGCCAGGTACCTTGTAAGCAAAGCTGGTAGCTGAACACATTCACATAATTGTATCTAAGAGTGTGTGTGCACACGCTTATTTTTATCTTTCCTTCAGCTTGTGTGTGTGTGTGTGTGTATGGCTTCATTTCTGTTTGACAAGTATAGTTCCCTGGGGCTGTCAAAACAAAGTTCCCAGACTCCATGGTTTAAACAACAGAACTTTATTACCTCACAGTCTGGAGGCCGGACGTTCAAGATCAAGGCAGGGCTGGTTCCCTTTGTGGCCACAGGGAGAACGTATTCCACCCTCTCCCCCAGCTTCTGGGGTAGCTGGTGATCTTTGGTGACCCCTGGTTCGTAGACCCATCACCCATCTCTGCCTTCATCTTCACGTGGCGTTCTCCCGGTGGGTTTTGTGTCCAGATTTCCCATTTTCACGAGTCATTGGGTTGGAGGCCCGTGCTAATAACTTATTTTAGCGTAACTGCCTCCGTAAAGACCCCATCGCCAAATATGATCACATTCTGAGGCACTAGGGGTTTGGTCTTCAACATCTGAACTTCAGAGGACACAATTCCGTCTGTAACAAGGGTAACAAGCTTTTGACTTTCTCGTTTGTAAGTAACATCAAGCAGTGTGACTTTTTCCCTTTTCTCTTAAGAGGTGGTGATGCCCCTGACGGAGTCCAGTGTCTATAACCTTTGTTGTGTTGAAACACCTGGACCAGGTCTTCCCTGTCCGGCCTGTGCAGTTAGCTGCAGGTGTGTGGGACCCCTACGTCAGCTACAGCGGTCCACCAGCGATGCCACGCCCTCTGTTCCCCTGCAGGCATCCTTCCCGGCAAACCTCCAGCTCGTCCTTGTTCTGCGACCAACAGGATTTTTCCAAAGGACTCTCTCTGACCTCGCTTTCAAATTCAACAGAGATGACTTTAAGATGAAGGTTCCAGTAAGTACACCCGGCTTTAGCTCTGTAGGCAGAACTAAACATAATTGCATTCTTGGCCCATCTATGATAATCGAAATTCTCAAGGTGCTAACCTCAGTGCTGTGAGCATAACTAAAGCCCCAAACGACTCAGGCGGAAATTGTACTTCCTCTTATGCAACCAGGAGCAGTATGATCCTTCATTCCCACCTGCCACTCTGCACCCCTGGGGTGACTGTGCAAAGCATGGCCTTGGATGGGCCACCTTCAGAGTACAGGCATTTCGTCAGAGCCATGAGTCTAGAACGTTCTTATAGCAAGTCAAGCTGAAGAACAAGGGAGCCCAGGGGACAAGAGAAGGCCCGGGGAAGTGTGTGCAAGCATCCCTCATGCCTGCAGAGGGTGGGAGCTGTAGGCCTTGGCCCTGCAGGCCGATCCCTCCCTCATCTCCTCACTCCAGCTCACATCAGCCAAATTAGTGAGTTGGCAAAAACGGGTTTCACAAAGAGAAAATGGAGTCCTCTCTGCTGAGAACTGTTTTCTACTTTAAGTGGACATTTTAGCCTACTTTATAAAATGAAGATCATGCGCCCTAGCCGGTTTGGCTCAGTGGCTAGAGTGTCCGCCTGCAGACTGAAGGGTCACGAGTTCAATTCCAGTCAAGGGCAGGTACCTCAGTTGCAGGCTCATCATGTGAGGGAGGAGATCAATCGATGTGTTTCTCTCACATCAATGTTTCTCTTTCTCTCTCTGTCTCTCCCCCTCCCTTCCACTCTGTCTAAAAATCAATGGGAAAATTATCCTTGGGTGAAGATTAAAATTAAAAAAAAGATCATGCTTCAATCAAAAGACCTCCACATTGGCACTGTTGACGTTTGGGCAGGATTGTTCTCTGTGGTGGGGCTGACCTGTGCATGATCTTACCCCTACCCTCCGCCCACCAAATGCCAGCACCACCCTCTCTACCCCCCAACATGTGACAATCAAAAATGTCTCCAGACATTTTCAAGTGTCCCCTGAGGGACAGAATAGCCCGGGGGGGGGGAGGGCGGGGAGGGAAGACCGCTGCTTTAAACTAATGCAGCATTTAATAATACATGAGGTGGTTTCAAATCACATTTGGGCTAAACCTCTCCAGACCTGTTTTGTAGTATCTGTGTGACAGCTTACAAAGCAAAGGCTATATTTTCACCCAGAACTCATGGGCAGAATGACCTCAGAAAGGACAAGAAAAAAACCCACATTAAAACAATAAAACAGAGGAAAATCGACCAGAACTGGTATGAGGGAGAGCACCACGGGCGAGTGGGCATCTTCCCCATAAAAATAAAAAACTAAAAAACAATAAAGCAAGTGTCCCGTGTGGAAGAGCTTGCTTGGTCACCACAACCGTGTGGTCCCCCGTCAAGGCCATCGTGCAGGTAAAGGGCACTGAACTGGGTCTGACCCTGCAGTGACCTCACAGTCTGTCAGCAGAAACGAAAACCAAATGATTTTCTTTAGAGTCCGAGCACCGTCCGATTACCATGCTGAGCTCACCTGGCCAGAGGAGCGTCCGCGCTTTCCATGTGCCTGATGTCCATGCCAAGCCCAGCTAGGTCACGGGGTTTGCACCCTTCAGTGGCTGTCATCTGGTGGGATTAGTCATCCTGTACCCATTTCATGAATGGGGAAGCTGAGACACAGGGAAAATAAGCGACTTGCCTCAAGTCAACCAGCCAGTTAGTGGTAGAGCTGGGATTGAAAGCCAGGCCCAAAGCCAGTGACTTCGGTCAACACGGCCACCAGCAAGAAAACGTTTCCTGACTGTCTGCTGGGCGTTCTGTGTATGGAGGGGGTTTCCTTTCTCCTCTAGGTCATAATGCTGAGCTCAGTACCAGAATTACACGGTTACATCGACAAGTCCCAGTTGACCGAGGACCTGGGCGGGACCCTGGATTACTGCCACACCAGGTGGTTGTGTCACCGCACGGTGAGTCTTTCTGGCACTCTCCCGTGGATGTGGGCTACGGGCTGTGGCTCGAAATAATCCCCGGTGAGACCCTTAGAATTGCTTTTGCATTTCGATGCTGCCTTTTCCAAAGACATGTTCCTGTGAAAACCCAAGTTTTCTCCCCAAGAATGAGGAGATGGTCTCAGTGGACCTTAGTCATCCAAAGAAATAACATGAGTAATAAGTTCGGGAGTGGCTTTCTCTGGGCTCAGAGACTGAAAAGAAAGAGAGAAAAGCCCCAGATTGTTGTAGATTGCGGCACTCACACCTCTCTCAACAAGGAGAGAGACCCTGAGCCTAGAATGACTCTCGCTGATGAAAGCCTATGTAAGGAGTGTCTGGTATGTGTCTGAAGAGGTCGTGAGGCTAAGAACCAGCGGGAAGGTATTTACTCTACACAGACCAGGCTTGCCGTGGCCCCATCCCCGTGAAGATGTCCCGGCCGGTCCTCGGGGGCGCTTTGCAGGCAGCAGGAGGGTGCGGTGCGTGCAAAGCTTTGTGATGGTGTTCTCCCTCTTCCCAAGGCCATCGAAAGTTTCGCCCTCATGGTTAAGCAGACGGCCCAGATGCTGCAGTCCTTCGGGACCGAGCTGGCCGAAACGGAACTGCCCAACGACGTCCAATCGACGAGCTCGGTGCTCTGTGCACACACGGAGAAGAAAGACAAAGCAAAGGTATGTGCGGTTTCTGGCGGGGGAGGGTAATGGGGGGCTCTCTGTCGGAGTGTGAGATGGTGGAGTAGAAGGAGCCGATGCCGGCATTAGGTAAGACAGAATCAAAGGGTTTTCTAAGATGCCTTTTGATGCTCATGAGCCGGGTAACCTCTGTGATGAGAACGGAAATGCGCTCCTTTTTAAAAGCAGCATAAACCAGTGCTGTAGGTGCAGGCACCGGGGTTGGCCTGTGAACTCTGACTGAAGCAAGGCATGGGAGGTGGCTTCTCGCTGACCCAGCTCCTGAGCTGCCTTGCAGCTGGGCCCCCCATCGAGGTGTTGCTGTTGCTTTTTAGTAAACCAAGACAGGAATTCTGTCCCCGGGGGCCCACAGATGGCAGGCGGGGACGTGGTGGGCTGACTCAGAGAGGCTGAAATTCATCAAGCAGCCACTGTACTCACGTACTTACTGTCACTTCCTGGGTAAATGCTCTGAGGGAGAGGTGCTCCCTGAGTCTGCCGCATCCTGCCCGACCTGCACATTGCAGGCTGTGCATCAGCGGTGACCATGACCCGCTGGGGGTGCCCTCCGGGGTACCCCCGCCCACGCCAAGAGAACCCCTTGCTCCCTTTCACCCCTGGCAGCGGGGATGGCTGCAGAAGCTGCACCTGGAGGTCTGGTGTCCTGTTACTCCCCTACTTTATCCTGCTTCCCCTGAGTGACCCGTAACCCTAGCTCTGCCCTGGTTGCAGCAGGAGGCATCTCCCCGACACCCGCCTGCTTCCCCCGTGAGTGAGCGGTCAGCACAGAGGGTAGGAAGACTTCGCTGTGGCTGGTGCTGTGCCCACCTTGCTCACTCCCCTCGCGGGGGCGATGCCCCACAAAGCCCACCGCTGTCTCCAGCCTGGTCAGAGCCCCGGGGAGTGGGTGGGCCTTGGGTGCGAGGTGCCGTGCTCTTCCCGCAGGAGGACATGAGGCTGGCGCTGGACGAGGGGCAGAGCATCCTGGAGAGCATCAGGGAGCCTCTGTCCAAGAGCCCGGAGCAGAGCCTGAACCAGGACCAGCTGGACAACCAGACCACCGTGCAGAGGTGAGGCCTCGGGCTGCGGGCCTTTCAGGCGCACGGCCACTGTGACCGCGAGAGGCTGCAGGCTGAGGACAGAGGGACAGACAGGCAGGAGCAGAGGCCCTACCTGTGCTGCCTCGTTGCCTCTCGGAGCCTGGTTTCCTCGTCCCAAGGGGAAGCAAGGGCACCTCAGAGTCCTTCCTGCTGAAATGCCTTTCTCCCAAATCCCAAGGAAAGCAGCTTTCCTGGGAGGAGATTTCTTAGTGCAGTCGCCCTTTTTCATAGGCGTGGAGGGTCCTTTAAGGGACAACAGTGGGGACAGGAGCTGTCAGGCTTGGCGATCTGCACTCAGTCGCTTTCCTGTCCTGTTTCGCACCTGAGGCTCCGCTTGCTCCCAGGTAGGGAAGCAGCCTCAGGCCTCTCAGCTCCTCTTTCAGGGAAAGGGGGTGATTGTCCTTGCCCCCCTTGGTGTCCAGCTGCGCGACAAAACACAGGGTAGAGTGTCCGCACGGTTCACTGCTCTTAGCTAACATCGTGCGCTGCTCTGCCATGTCCACACACCACGCGCCTCCTCCCAGTCTGTGCTCTTGGCCCCTAAAGCCAGGTCAGCAACGAGGCCCCATCTCCTTATTCAGGGACAGGTTGGGGATAGGTGCAGAGCAGCTGGACAAACCCAGGCCTGGACCCTGGCCAACATTTTCAACTCTTAACCTGGGTTCCCTCCTCGTGGCTGAAGTCCACACACCGAGCAGGTGTTCTGTGCCGGGGATGCAGAGTGGGCCCTGGGACACGAGGGAAGCCTGTGTAGATGTCCTCAATGTCACGAGCGGAGGAGGTTGGAGCACACTGTTAATTCCCCCCAGCTCGGTTTCCTCATCTATACACTGGGGCCAGCCTGAGCACCTGATGGGGTGGGTGTGGGATCAAATTGGTTCTTGTCCAGCACAGTGTCTGGAGCATGGGGGTTCTCAGATTTGGGAGTGATGACAGTAAGTGGCGGCAGCACTTCTTCACCCACACGTGCAGCTTACTGTTTTCTTAACCCCAGAATCAAAGTGGTAAATAATGACCCCAGACCTTTACCATCTCGACCTTGTAAAAATCAACAAACTCAGCTCAGCCAGCTGCCCTCCCTCTCAAGTCAGTGGGCCCTGAAGAAAGCCCTCCCTTCTAAACCTGTGCTTTAGTGCCCCGCTAAGAGCGGGCGAGGGTGTTAAGAAGGCTGCTGGGAGGCTGAGCCCTCCACCCCTGCTTCACGTTGCAGGGGGCAATTCTTCCTTCCCCCACGGGTCACTCCAGCACAGCACAAGTGCCTTCCTCTTTCCTAGGCTCCTGGCCCAGCTGAATGAAACTGAGGCTGCCTTTGATGAGTTTTGGGCAAAGCATCAGCAAAAACTCGAACAGTGTCTGCAGCTCCGGCATTTTGAGCAGGATTTCCGGGAGGTGAGTGGCCCAGAGCCTGGAGAGAACCTGTAGGCGGGCACCTGGTGTTCTGGCTGCAGGAAGCCAGGAAGTGGCCTGGATCCCCTGGATGCCCAGAGCTGGGTTCCCAGTTGGCTATGGTTCAATGCGGAATAGTCTCTGTTAGCCACATGGAGCCCCAAGATCAAGTTGGAGTCAACCTTAGAGTATGTGATTGATGAGTAAATCATTATAGGCAAAGGTTGTGCAAAATATGTTCATTAGCATGTTCTTCCACATTATTTGTTCATTAGTCAAGCAAACTTCATTCTCCCTTTATGGTCATTTGTATGTTCTTTTCTCCAACATGTGCGTACTGTGTACCTAGCAGGGCCCTGTGCACACACCTTGGATTCAGTGTGACAAGGTTATAATAGAAGTGATGTGCCATCATTGTGTTAGATCGTTAGAGATGGCCAACTCATCGGAAGCCTGTTAACCATTTTTTTGTTTAGAATATTTATACACTTCCCTGTGGTCTGGTCCTGAAGCAACAAAGGAATATAAAACGGTAAAGCCATCAGTGACAATGTAGACCCAGGCCAGCATCCTTCCTGTCCTCAGGAAACCTCTGGTCAAGGAGGGATCATAAATACACAGGAAATAGGTAGCCACGTCAAGTTCAGTGACCAAGCTGTTGTGAGGCCGTGTCTACATGCAGATGAGGAGGACCGGTGACGGTTCTATGGGGACCATCCTCCCATTGTAGTCCCCCCCAAGGAGTCATGAGCATCACATTCCGGAAGAGGTGGGACCTAATCCAGCAATCTTCACTGAGCACTGTTCAGGTGGGCAGTGCTCGAACTCGGGACAGCAAGGTGAGGCAGTGTCACTGACTCAGACCAGAGAGGTCACGCCAGCCAGTGGGAACAGCACCCCCGGAGAAGATCATTCCTTCCTTGTTTCTGTGGGGACTGAGGAAGGCTCTCAGACAACCACACCTTTTATTTGAAGACTAGAGGCCCAGTGCATGAAAATTTGTGCACTCGGAATGGGGGGGGGGTGTCCCTCAGCCTGGCCTGTGCCCTCTTGCAGACCAGGAGCCCTCGGGGGATGTCCAGGGAGCAGGCCTAACCTGCAGTCTGGCCTCCCTCTGCAGGAGGCGACCCACAGCACCCACCTTGGCTGGCCTGGAGCCGCCTGCTTGCCAGCCCTGCCCCTGTTTGGTAGATTTGCATATTAGGCTTTTATTATTTAGGATAATTGTAGCTTCAAGTGCTGTTGTCAGAAATAAAATCAAAGAGATGCCATGTACCCTTCACCCAATTTCCCTAACTGGTGACATCTTCCCAAACTAAAACGCAGGATCACAGCCAGGATACTGACCCTGACACAGTCTACACACAGGTCATTCCATCCCCACAAGGATGCCCATGTTGCCCTTTTATAGACACGCCCACCCCCCTCCTCCTTCTACTCCCTCCTGAACCCCTGGCAACCACTCATCTCCATGTCCCTTGTTGTCATGAAAAATGTTCTATAAATGGGATTGTACCACACGTAACCTTTTGGGACTGGCTGTTTTCACACAGCATGATTCTCTGGAGATGCATCCAGGCTGTTCTGTGTAATAACAGTTTGTTGCTTTTTGCTGTACATTCATGTGCAGAGCTTTGTGTGACCGTAAGTTGTCACATCTCTGAGATAAGTGTTCAGGAGTGCAATTGCTGGGTCATATGAGAGTTGCATGTTTAGTTTTTTGAGAAAATGCCAAATTGTTCCCAGGTGGCTGTACCATTTTACATTCCCATCAGCAATGTCTGAGTGATCCAGTTTCTCCACATCCTCACCAGCAGTAGGGGTGGTATTATTTTTAATTGTCTGTACATATTTTGATAGCTGTGTAGTGATATCTCAGTGTGGTTCTAGTTCACAGTTTCCTAATGGCCGATGACCTTGAACATCTTCCGGTGTGCTTATGTCATCAGTATATCCTCTCCGGTGAAATGTCTCTATTTCTGTTTCCCATTTTGTGTTTACTGTTGCGTTTTGAGAGTTCTGTAAATACTTTAGATACTAGTCCTTTGTCAGACATGCGTATGAAATTATTTTCTTCCAACTCATCACTTACTTTTGTATCCTCTTACCATAACTTTTCACAGAGCAAAGTTTTTTATTTTGATGAAGTCCAATTTATCAATTTTTCCTGTGAAGGACTGTACTTTTGGTGTCAATCCTAGATCCCAAATATATTCCCCTAAACTATTTTTCCTAAAAGATTATTATCTTACATGTAAGTCCATGATCCATTTCAAGTTACTTTTTGTATGAGGTATGAGAATTAGGTCAAGGTTCATTTTTAAATCTCTGGATGTCCAGTTGTTCCCATAACATTGTTGAAAAGGTTGTCTTTTCTCCATTGGATTGTTTTTCCACTTTTGTCAAAAATCAGTTGTGCATATTTGCTTGGGTCTATTTCTGGGTCTGTATTCTGCCCCTCCGTCAGTACATAGTCTTGATTACTGTACTATTATAATAACGCTAGAAGTTAGGTGGGTGAATCTGCCCATTTTATTCTTCTTTTCCAAAGTGTTTAGCTATTTTAGTTCCTTTGCTTTTCCATGTAAATTTTAAATAATCTTGTCTTTATCTATAAAAAATGTACTAGGGTTTTGATAGTAATTGTGTTAAACTTCCATTTGAGGGAGAATCAACATCTTAAATATGTTGAGTCTTTCAATCAATGAACATAATATGCCTCACCATTTTTTTAGATTTTCTTAGACTTTTTTTTTAAATCAATGTTGTGTACCTTTCAGCATACCTGTGCAGTACATGTTTTGTTTGATTTATAGTTACATCGTTTATTTTTTAAAGCCACTACAAATGTATTGTTTTTAGTTGTGGAGTCTGTGTATTCATTGCTATATAGAGAAATACAATTGATTTGTGTAGTTTATCTTGTCTTCTGAAACTTTGCCAAACACACTCATTCTAGGCGTTGTTTTGTCCTCGCTGGGATTTTTACATACGTGATCAGGTCACGTGCCAACAGGGACAGCTTGATCTCTCCCTTTCCCGTCTGTATGCCTTTTGTTTGTTTGTTTATATTTTTAACTTTTCTTGCCTTATTGCACTGGCTAGAGCTGCCACCACTTCAAACAGCTGTGAGAATGGACATCTTTGCCTTGTTTCCAATCTTAGGGGGAAAGCATTGTTTTCACCAACATTATGGACATAATGTTGCCGGTAGAATCTTTGTAGGTGCTTTTTATGAAATTGAAGAAGTTCCCCTCTAGTTCTGTTTTCCTTGGGGGAGATCTTGGTTTTCCCTCTCCTCCCCTCATTCCCGGTTTCGGTCATGTCTTCATGTCCTCTCCCTTCAGCTGTGGTTGTTCTGACTTGGGTCTGGGTCTCTCGCCCCTTCTCTGTTTCAGGTCAAGGCCGCCTTAGACGTGTTGGCTCAGAAGATAGCGACCTTCACGGACGTGGGCAACAGCCTGGCACACGTGGAGCACCTCCTGAAGGACCTTGCCAGCTTCGAGGAGAAGTCCAGCGTAAGGGACTGGGACGTGGGTGGGGGACAGGCTGGTGAAGCGCTTCTCACGGTGTCACCAGAGCTGCTTAGAAAGGCACAGGAAATGGTGATGTCGGCAGGTGGAGGGAAACTGCCTGGCCCGCCCACCCCCAACCCCCAGCCCCACATCCTACCTCCACCCCACCATCACCCCTACCCCCTCAGTCCCTCAGAGGAAGCAGCACCCTGCTTGCTTATAATGAACATAACCTGAGCTGTGTTTCTGGGACGGTTCTCTGCAGGCGGCGGTGGCGCAGGCTCGCACCCTGTCCCTGGACGGGGAGCAGCTCATCGACAACAAGCACTACGCCGTGGACTCCATCCGCCCCAAGTGCCACGAACTCCAGCACCTCTGCGACCAGCTTGCCGCCGAGGTCGCGCAGAGGAGGGGTCTGCTCAACAAGTCCCTGGAGCTGCACGGCCTCCTGGAGGCGGTAGGACCCCAACCCCACACCCCTGGTGGCGAGCCTGCTCTTGGTCCCACGTGGGCTGCTCCCTCCACGTAGGATGCACCACAGTCTTGATTAGAAGCTGGCCCACGCCCTCCTGTCTGGATGTCCTGACACAGTTGTCTGTTTTCTAGAATTTACTTGCAACAACTAACGATTTCTTTAAAAGGCCCAGAAACTTACCATCTAGCTAACTCACTGCACTTTGCCTCCCCCCCGCCTCTCTCTCTCTCTGTAAATGAGTCCTGTCCCGGGTGATTTGCTCAACTTTTTAGAGTGCTGCATTCCCTCCAGGGAGTCCTTTGGACATCGCAGCAGAGCTGGGATGGTGTAGTGCTGCAAATATTCCCAAAAACATAGTGGTCAGCGGACAGGCCCCAGCAAAGAGAGCCCAGACACAGCTGCTAACACAGCCTCTCTCTCCCTCTGCAACGCTTCCCGTGTCCAGTCCATGAAATGGTGCGATGAGGGGATTTACTTGCTGGCCTCGCAGCCCGTGGACAAGTGCCAATCCCAGGATGGTGCGGAGGCAGCCCTCCAAGAAATTGAGAAGTTTTTGGAGACCGGTGCAGAAAATAAGATCCAGGAGCTCAATAAAATTTACCAGGACTACGAACCCATCCTCACCCAAGACCTGATGGTATGCCAGTTCGGGCTTTTCTCCTGCGGCTCCCCTGTCCTGAATGGTGGGGAGTTACTTTATGTTCCAAAGACTCATTTAATGAATTATTAGAGACGGTAGGCGTTTGAGAGAGCTGTCGAGTTGCGGGGAGGGGTCACCTGGCTCAACTTCCCTTATGCAGAAATGATTGCGCGCCTCCCTCAAGAGGTGGTGATCCTTCCTCCTGTGGGATCTCCCCTACAAGAGGCGTGTTCTTGATGAAGTAGCCATTTCCCTGGGCCCTGCTTCCTGCATGCTCCTCTCAATATTGCACTGAAATAGGACTCCTCCTCTCTCGCGGCCAGTTGTACTCAGCCCACCCCTGGGGCAACCCACAAGTCTACTGCCCTTCCATAGGCAGCCTTCAGATGCCTGGAGAGGGCTGCTGGTCCCTCACTCCATGGTGGGGTTGCCACCCTCCCAGGCCACAGCCAGCAGGGCCAGTGCAGGATTGCTTGGTTGGCAATGGGCTCTGCGTCACGAGCATTTAAACCGGAGGTCGTGCTGAGGCCGAGTCTACACATGATTGTTCTGTTTGTAAATTGCAGACACCGACGCTTATAGAGCATCCTGCTAACTAGTCTGTCCTACCCTGTCAGGAACACGTACAGAAGGTCTTCCAGAAGCAAGAGAGTATGGAAGAGATGTTTCACCGGAGGCAGGCGAGCCTGAAGAAGCTGGCGGCCAAGCAGACGAGGCCCGTGCAGCCCGTGGCCCCCCGGCCCGAGGCGCTCACGAAGTCGCCCTGCCCCTCCCCAGGTATATGCCGGCATGCCTGCCTCGTTCCTTCTGGGAATGCTTTCCTTCCGTTCCATGACTTATTTTATAAATAAAGTTTTATTGGCACTTGGCCCACTTCTTTGTTTACTCTCTGTGCTGCCTCCTTGCTCAGCACCGCAGAGCTGGTTGGTTGTGGTAAAGAGCATGCGGCCCTGAGAACTGGACTATCGACTGTCACAGGACTTTCCTGGGCCTATTTCCCCAGACTCTAGCCTCTCCCCAACCCCCCCTTTCCTCAGTGCTGTTGCTAAAATAGTTTCCCCCGCACACGGCTCCCACCTCAGCCCCAAAGCCTCCCTGCGCTGTCGATGCCTCAGCCACGTGAGCCGCCCCCGGCACCGGCAGCAGTGCCATGTCCTGAAGACTCCTTCCCATCCCTTCCTGGCCCCCAGAAACGCTCTTCCCCAGCAGCTGGGAGCTCCTGCTGGTTCCTTCAGGGCTTTGGCAAGTGTCCTAAGTTGGCGAGAGCCCTGGAGAGCTCCGGCCCCCAAGGTGTGGGCTCCAGAGGACGCCATTCTCTGGCCCGTTTGGAGGCCTCCTGGACAGAAGTGTCCTGGCCGAGAAGTTCTTCCCCTGTCGCCTGATCCCCTGTCGGCTGGGAGCCTCTCTAGGGATGTGAACTAACCAGTGGGCCGACCCCTGTGTGCCCACCCCCACCTTGTCTCCCGATCCCCTTTCCTTCTCTTCCGTTTTGCTGTACTTTCCTCACCCTTCTTGGGACTGCTTGCTTTTTTCCTCTGAAAGTAAAAAAAAAATAAATCCCAGACACTCCTGGGTGGACCTTTTCCCTTTCCAGACACCCACCTTTCTCCTCTTCTTCCCAAACCAGGTGTCCGGAGAGGTTCTGAGAACAACAGTTCTGAGGGCAACGCACTCCGGAGAGGGCCCTACCGGAGGGCCAAGGTGAGGCCCCAGCCCTGGCCCAGACCCTGCACTGCCTCCTGGCCACCTCCCCTCCCTGGCAGGCACCAGCCCGGTCCTCCCTGGCCCTCTCCCACACGCCCTCTCCTCCTCCGGCGAGATCTCAGGTTTCAGATCTGTTCCCAGATGGGAAATGAGCCTGGGCGCCGGAGCCTTAGAGTCGGGACGTGAAGCTGCATCCTCTTGTGTTTGGAATCTCGACGCACTGTGTGCTCTTCTCTCTCCAGAGTGAAATGAGTGAGAGCCGGCAGGGCCGGAGCAGCTCCACGGGGGACGAGGAGGAAAGCCTGGCCATCTTGCGGAGGTGGGTGGGCTGCCTTTCCAGGCACCGCTGAGCGGCTCTGGGGCAGACACGACAAGCACGACCCCCCCAGGTCTCAGCCTTTGGCTAGGACAGTCTGAACCCAAATGAGCCAAAGTCGGTGAAAAATGCCAGCCTCTGCCCCAAAGCCACAATGTGGGAGCCCAGCTGGCCTCATGGGGTCCACGCACATGCATGCATCATGGAGGGCACGCGTCCGTTTGGCATGTCTGCATCTGAAACTAAGAGAACTGTAGGTTTTCCTTAGAAGAGCCACCCTTGTCCCTGGGCCCCCAGGCGGGACTGTGATGATTTGAATGGATTGTGTTCTCCCTTCTTCAAGTCCAGGTGAGAAGACAAGTGTGATTCAGGCACCTAGGCCCTTGGGTCCCATGTGCAAGATCAGCCACATAACTGCCCCTCCCCCACTTCACCCCATTTAGGTGCACTGACTCTTTGAACTGAACCCTAAAGCCTTGTTAAGCACTGACAGTTGTTTTAGAACTGATCATGCCCAATGGCCCCAACCCAGAAGCACCCTGAATGGGATGCTTGGTCGTAGGCAGTTAGAAGGTGGTCTTTGTCCCTAAAAAGACATCTGGGCAGCTGGTTTGCAAACCCCTGCCCCTCCTGGGGCTCTATAACATGATGGGCACATAGTAGTTCCACACATCATCACGGTACCCCACCACGTGCAAGAGGATAGGGATGGACACTGGACCGGCTACAGTGAGGCCTTGAGTTGGTGCTCAGACGGCCCCCAGGCAAGGAGACAGGAGTGTGTGCACAGGAAGGGCTCTTGGGGAGGGCGGGGGGAGGGCGGCAAGAGAAGGAAGCAGGGCAGAATCTGCAGGGCTGGGAGGCTCAGAGACATGGGTGGAAGAGAGGGAGGCTTGAGGAATCGGAGCTCGTTTTGTGCAGGTGGCCCCACAGCAGGGAGGCGGGTGGGAATCTGCTCCTAGATAATAAGTCCTGGCGCCCTGTTCACAGGCACGTGATGAACGAGCTGCTTGACACGGAGCGGGTCTACGTGGAGGAGCTGCTCTGTGTCCTGGAGGTGAGCCTGCCCCTGGGGGTGGCCGGGAGGGGGCCATGGGCCAGGCTTCCCCACCCTGTGTGGCTTCCTGTCCACCAAAAAGCAAGTGGAAGAAGATTCGTGGCAGCTTTACTCACGGGAGTCCCTTTGTCAGTGGGACGAGGGGCAAGAAGGTTTAGGTGGGTGTGCACAGGGACAATACTGACAGCAAGAAAAAGAGCGGCTGCTGCACAGAACCTCGCACAACTCCAGGAGCCCGATGACAAGTGGGAGAAATCAGACAAGAGTGCGTGCCATTCCTGCAGAGCAGCGGTTCTCAACCTGTGGGTTGTGACCCCTTTGGGGGTCGAACAACCCTTTCACAGGGGTCGCCTAAGACCATCCTGCATATCAGATATTTACATTACGATTCATAACAGTAGCAACGTTACAGTTATGAAGTAGCAACGGAAATAATTTTATGGTTGGGTCACAACATGAGGAACTGTATTTAAAGGGCCAGAAGGTTGAGAACCGCTGCTGTAGAGGAATCCAGACGAGCAGAGCCGGTCTTGGTGGAGACGTCCCAGTGCAGGCGCGGGCTGGGGGCTGTTGCCTGGGAAGGGCAGAGGGGCTTCTGAGGGCTAGGATGTCTACATCTTGATCTGGGCAGCGGTTACAGGGGTGTAGACATATAAATAATTCACCAAGGTGTACACATAAGATTTTTCCCCTTCACAGAAGTTATACCTGGATTTTTTAAAAAATCTATTTTTATTGATTTCAGAGAGGAAGAGAGAGGGAGAGAGAGATGGAAACATCAATGATGAGAGAGAACCATTGATCTCACCCCCCTACTGGGGATTGAGCCAGCAACCCAGGCACATGCCCTGAGGAATCAAACTGGTGACCTCTTGGTTCCTGGTCGACACTCAACTGCTGAGCCACACCTGGCTGGGCTATACCTGGATTTTGAAAAGGCTGAAAGGGAGAAGGATGAAACCTCCCGTCCCTTGCCCCCAAAGTTGATGCTGTTTATAATTCATTTACATTTTGTAGTACTTTCCAGAAGGTCATCTTAGAAAGGGTCGGTGAGTAAATAAATGGGAGGTGGATTTGCTTTCTGAAACCTGAGGCGGCGTCACAGTCCCGCGAGGCGGTCACGCGGAGACGGGGCTCCGTGCTGATTGGGCTGCTGTTCAAATGGCCCGAAGTCCTGTCGGCCGTGGTTCGGGATTTCCCTGCTGACCCTCTCCCCGTCCACAGGGCTACGCTGCCGAGATGGACAATCCACTGATGACGCATCTCATCTCAGCCGGCCTTCAAAACAAGAAGGACGTCTTATTCGGAAACATGGAAGAAATCTACCACTTTCATAACAGGTGGGACCCTTCCTCTGACCACCTGTCTGGCCTCTCACGTAGCCGCCTGCAGGGAGCTGAAAACCAAACGGCCCGGCCGAGCTCTGCTGGCGAAGAGTGTCCCTTCCTCCCCCCTCAGCGGGGATAAGTCACCGAGGGGCCTCGCACCAGGCAGCAGCCGGGTGGGACGTGCCCAGGCCTAGTTCTCTGAGCCGGGGGGGCGGGGGGGGGGGGTCACACACGAAGTGGGAAGGTGCCTCGGCGCCTTGCCAGCATGACTGCAGGAGCAGCCGCCCCTCCCGCCTCTCCCTGTCCCTTGGGACCAGCAGGAGCCACCCCACCCCACCCCAAATGTGTGTGTTGGGCACATTGGGGCAGCACCGACGGCCACACCACTTAGCAAGGACAGTGTATTCCCAAGCCCGTTCTTGGAAAGGGTGGTAACATCAGAGGTTCCTCCCTGCCTGTTACCCCTGTGAGAGCGATTTGCGGCCTCTTGGTGCTTTGGGGAAAGCGTGGCTGGTCCTGGGGCTGCTTCGCCTGGACTCCTGCTCCAGATTTGCGGGAGCTCATGGGAAAGGAAATGAGCAGGCAGCGTAAGTGCGTAGAGAGGCAGGCAGGTGATGGCGATGTCTGTGTGTCCTGAGAAAGGGCCAGCTGTGAGCCAACCCCTCTCAGTGCTGCCCGGGGCCAGGAAGCCCGGCCATCACGGCACCAGGCCCCCATCTCCTATGGATCCCAGGGAACACTGGGACTTCTTTCTCACCACCTGCTTTGCCCCTCGACTGCTAGCATTTCTCACCTGCCCACTGATAAAGGAGGCAGCAAGTCACAGCTGAACCCCACCCGAGCCTTCCCTTGGGAAGTCAACTGAGTGAGTGGCCTGGACCTTCAGCATCCGGTGGCTCTGACCAGCGCGTGGGCACCGGGACCCTGGCTGCAGGGCTAGTGTGGTGAAGAGGCCCCAGGAGCTCCCCTTCCCGGGAATTTACCCCCACAGACAGATTAAGTCCGAAACATAGGAAAACTCGGCACATGGCTCAGGAACAAAGCTGCATCAGGGAAGGGCTCAGGGACCTGACCGAGGCCCCCTGACATCCGCAGAAACCCGACTGAGCTGCTGGCTCATCAGGGCTGCGCTTCCAGAACCTCCAGATGCTCTGTCTGCCTGCTCACAGCCTCTTCGCCCCATGTCTGTTCTGATAAAATAAGCCTCCAAAAATCATAGAGATTCAGGGGGGCCATGTCTGCTTAAATCTGAAAGTTTGATATCGTCAAAACTCAGGGAGTGACAGGTATGGGCTGTTGGTCCCTGAAACAAGACTGTATTCTGACACACAAGACCTCCCAAACGGTCCAGAGTTAGGAACAAAAGTTGTTTGGAAAATAATAGCTATTCAATTGTTACAGATGCCATCTTGTTCAGGCTGTTTATCATACAACCTAATGCAAACTTTCTTTGTCTAGAATATTCCTGAGGGAGCTAGAAAACTACATAGACTGCCCAGAGCTGGTTGGAAGGTGTTTTCTAGAAAGGGTATGTGTTTTTTTTTAATGTATACTTGCCCGTGCCTTACTTCCTAAAATTACTAGTACTTAAAATAATAACTTCAAATTCGATTGCAGTCCCCAACCGAAATCACAAAGTACCAAGGTTTCCAGTTCGGCTGAGACGATGTGCCCTTTTTGGGTAGGGCTGAAAGAATGTGGTTTTTTCTAAAGCCCACTAGCTAGTTTGAAAAAGAGAAAAACTATAAAACACCAGCTTTGAGATTTGCCCAAATTGCCAGGCATCTCCGTTCTGATTGTGTTCAGCGGTTCTCAACCTGTGGGTCGCGACCCTTTGGGGATCGAACGACCCTTTCACAGGGGTCACCTAAGACCATCGGAAAACACAGATAATTATATATTGTTTTGTGATTAATCACTATGCTTGAATTATGTTCAATCTGTAACAATGAGATTGGGGTTCACCACAACATGAGGAACTGTATTAAAGGGTCTCGGCATTAGGACGGTTGAGAACCACTGTAGATGGAGCTGAGCCCTTCTCATGCTGGCATTTGCTCTGTGTTCGCTCTTGTCCTGGTCCTGGTTAAGACTCCCTCGCTGACCAGCGAACATTGGACAAGTCCTCCACGTTTTCTGAGCCATGTTTTTCTTCTCTTTGAAAGAGTCGATGTCTGCCTCCTTCCAGGGCGGGAAGATCAGCTGAAGTGTGTGTGTGTGTGTGTGTGTGTGTGTGTGTGTGTAGGGAAAGGGGGTTGAGCAGAAGCCTTGGGAGCAGGAAAGGCTACGGGTATGGGGCTTGCTGTCTTCTCCACATGGTCCCACGTGGTCCTCTCCTGTTGACCTCCAAACACTGCTGGCTTAGCAATAGGGAAATGCATCTTACCAACAGCCGTGAAACTAAGCCATTTCCACCAAATGAGCTGGAGGCTGACACGGTCACAACGAATTGATGTGAAGAGGCAGTTGGAAGGGAAAGGAGGAGCAATGTTGACCCAGCCTGGCTGTAATGCTTCTCGGTGCTATCTGAGAAGTGGGGTGGGGCCATCATGCTGTAGGCCAGTGGTTCTCAAAGTGGGTCACCTGGCAGCAGCATCAGAGTCTCCTGGGACCTCGTTATAAATGCGGGTTCTCAGTCCCACCCGGGAACCTCGGTGGGGGCAGCGGTCTGTTTTCACAAGCCTGCCCGAAATACTGATGTGCATGCAAGTTTGAGCCCCACTGTGTAGGCTAAACCCCTTAGAAAGCCTGTGTTAGTCCTGTGTTTATTCTTAGACTGTTACTCCTATGGCAAAGGCAGCTATCTTGAGGGAACCTGTATAAAAGGGGTATCAGGCCTAATACAGCCCTGAGACGTGAACTCCAGTGGGGGTGTTACCTGACTGTCCCTCAATGAGGGGCGTGACGTCTGAGATGGAGGGGCGAACCGGGATCCAGGAAGAGGCCAGACTGGCCCCTCTGAGCCGCGCTGTGACACTGTCTGTCCCGGGCCCAGATGGAGGAGTTCCAGATCTACGAGAAGTACTGTCAGAACAAGCCCCGCTCCGAGAGCCTGTGGAGGCAGTGCTCTGACTGCCCGTTCTTCCAGGTACGTTTCAGGACGCTGTCCTTTGCTAGTTGACTCTCAAGCAAAGACTCCTGAACGCTGTCTAAACCCGAGGTGTGGTGGTTGTAGGAATGCCAGAAGAAACTGGACCACAAGCTGAGCCTGGACTCCTACCTGCTGAAGCCAGTCCAGAGGATCACCAAATACCAGCTGCTCCTCAAGGTGAGACAGCGAGCCCCATGCCTGGCTGGGCACACCCTGCATGGCCACCTCACTGCTACTTTCCCCTCCCAGCCACGCACCAGGCAGCTGCGGCTGCCTCACCATCTCTGAACATGGTGGCCTCTGAGCCACCTTCCTCCCATCTCTGCAGGGGCCTGGCTCTTCACAGACCTTTGTGGAGGGCCTACTGTGCGCTGGCCATTGTTAGGGCGAGGGCAGGGACAGCACGTGAACAGATGGGCAAACCCCCCACACGGAGTCTCCACACTGACACTGGGCTGTGCCAGTCGGTTATCTCTGTGGGCCCAGAGGCAGCACCGCAGGCCAGAGGGAACCAGTGAATGAGCGTGAAGAGCATGTGCCTAACAATCAGATGTTTGTTCAGGTGTCAAATTTGAAAGGAAGAAGTAACCAGTTTAGAAGTGGGACACATGAGACAAGGATCTCAGTCTGAGTTTGCTGGGGGCAGAGCCGCACAAGGGTGCTGGCCCTGGGGAATTGCAAGGGGCCTGCACTCGCCAAGTGGCTCAGGGGACATCCCCAATTTGCAGCATCCATCCAGGCTGAGGTGGGCTGGGGTACGGGGGCTTCAGGGAGGTGGAAGGGCAGCTTCCTGAGCTGTTCCTAGGCCAGTGGTCCCCAGGCCAGGCCCACGTTCAGGGAGGGTATGAGTGTCCACACGTATGGTCTTCTCCTCGCCAGTGCCGACTGAGCAGGGAGCCACATCATGTGTCCCCAGGGTCCATGTTCAGGGCCACCCAGGGGCTACTTCCGGGATAGAGCACTGGATTTCAGCAGCTTTCAAGTGAGTGGTAGGGGTCAGTATCCAGATGGGTGTGTGAACATGACTTCTCCCTACCCCCACCCGCCAGGAAATGTTGAAATACAGCAAGAGCTGCGAGGGGGCTGAGGACCTGCAGGAGGCGCTGAGCTCCATCCTGGGCATCCTCAAGGCCGTGAATGACTCCATGCACCTCATCGCCATCACAGGCTATGACGTAAGGACCGCTGAGGGTGCCCCTGCCTTCTCCCCCACCTGCTGGAGGTGCTTGTGAGCCTGCTTGGTGGGGGGATCTGCCAGGCAGCGGCTGAGGCCAGCCCACAGCTAGTGCAGAGCTGTGCCCTTGAGCTTTGATGATCGTGGGTATCACCTGCAAGCGGTCAAAACCCGGCCTGACGCAGGCAGCCTGGGGAGGGTCTGAATGGGGGCTCAACAACGTGTCAAGAAAACCAGGAAGTGTTCACCCCTCAGAGGCGCATCTCTGAAAACCTCTTCATTCCTGGTCTTTTCCTGGGGTCAGCATCACTCAGGGAACGGGTACGAATCTGTTTTCCGGGCTGATAATGTGCACTGAGTCAGGGTTAAAGTCACATTTCTACTTTCTCCTCTGTGTGCCCATGTCAGACCAACCTACTAATTTGTTTACCTTCCTGTAAGTCTCTTCAACACTCAATCTTGGTTTCTTTTCATTAATAGACTGTTTTTAGAGCAGAATTGAGAGGAAGGTATAGAGATTCCCCGTGTGCCTCCTGTCCCCTACACACAGCCTCCCTCGTTATCAAGGTCCCCACCAGAGCGGGACATTTGTAATGAACCAACGCGGACACATCACTGACACCCAGAGCCCATGGGGTGCATCAGTGTTCACCCTTGGTGTTGCTCGCTGTGGGTTTGCGCACATGTATAATGACATGTGTCCACCATGGACGTGACCTTATAGACCAGTCGCACTGCCATGCACCTCCCCTGTGCTCTGCCTGTTCACCCCTCCCTGCCCCGCCCCCATAGACGCCCATCTGTTTACTGTCTCCATAGTTTTGCCTTTTTCTGAATGTGACACAGTTGGAATGCAGCCTCCCTAGACGGGCTTCTTGCACTCAGAAACAGGCATTTAAAGCCACCCTCCACTCCCCCATGTTCGTTCTGGGTTGTAAATGCTCCTCGCGTTGCTCCGCGTTGTAGGGGAACCTGAGCGACCTGGGCAAGCTGCTGATGCAGGGCTCCTTCAGTGTCTGGACGGACCACAAGAAGGGCCACGCCAAGGTGAAGGACCTGGCCAGGTTCAAGCCCATGCAGCGACACCTGTTCCTGCACGAGAAGGCCGTGCTCTTCTGCAAGAAGCGGGAGGAGAACGGGGAAGGGTACGAGAAGGCCCCGTCCTACAGCTACAAGCAGTCCTTAAATGTGAGTAAGGCCTGTTTCCAGCGGCCGCAGCCTTCCTGGCACTGGCCCTCAAGAGAAGGATCAGGGGCCCGTTCCAGGTGGTAACTGAGCCTCGGTCATGACGTCCACCTTCTGGCACGTGTCTCTTATCTCTGGATGTGGGCGTGCGGGATCTCTGGCATCCGTAGCCCCCATCTCAAAACTAACAGCTGTCTCCCTGTTTTGTGCTCTCAGATGGCAGCTGTTGGCATCACAGAGAACGTGAAAGGGGATGTGAAGAAGTTTGAGATCTGGTACAACGCCAGGGAGGAAGTTTACATCATACAGGTAGGACCCCGTCTTTCTCTCAATGGTCCGGCATTAGGGACTCCTCAAGTCTCAGTAGGATTGCCAATGAAAGGCTTCCAGGGAGAGCTGGTGTCTAGACTCTTCCATGATGTTTTAGTTCCTAGAGGCCAGGAGCACCACTATTCATCTGGGGGCGCTGCCTGGGCCGTCTTTAACCTGAGCTGAACCCAGGCACGGTACAGGGGCACACTGCAGGTTGGGGTGTCAGAGGTGTCCTTCCAGAAAAAGGAGCCAAGGCTGCCGTAGCCCCGGCGCATGTGTGCCTGGACGTGCAGGGAGCACAGCCAGCCTTGCCACACTTACACACAGGACCGGGTTCTCCTGGCGGGAAGTGTGTTCCGAGTCCTTACCTGTCCCCACCTCGCTGGGGAGGGCAGGAGGTGGGCGAGGCTGTACATGCATTAGTGAGCCCACACCAGAACCCGGGTGCCCCATGAAGGGGTCAGCCAGCACGGGATGTGCCCCTCCTACTTGCCTTCAAAATTCTGACCCCACCCACCCGGCACTTGATGGCTTGGGCCCAGGGCCACGTGGCAACCCTGTATCACACTGGCCTTAGTTGTCTACAACGCACGCGCCCACACCAGTGCAGCCAGACCCAAGGGCCCCAGGAGCTAAGGCGAGGGTGTGGGTCACCGCTCTGGCTTTCCACAGCTGCCCACCTGGCACTGCCCCCAGGCCCCCCACCGTGCTGAGGCAGGATAGAGCCCTGCCAGGGTTCACGCTCCTCGTAGTTTCCCTCCCCCTGGAAGTTCAGAATATACTTGTGAGATTTCAGACTCCGGCTTCCCTTGTCTGGAACGGAGTCAGAGCCATTTCCCAGACTTTCGGCTGCAGGGTTTCCCCACTGAGTCAGCCTTCAGAGGTTGTGCAAACGTATCGGCTGGCTTTCCGTCCCCCGGCTGGTGTGGCCCTGCTCCGGGCCTTGTCGGATCATGCCCTGGACTGGGGTGAAGTCCCGAAGCAAGGGGCCGTGCCACCGTTCCCTCCCTTCTCCTTCCTCGCGTACAAGGCTCTCATTATCTAAGAGCGTCCTCAGAGGTTTCGAGAGTAAAAGACCCAAGTGTGTGTGTTTGGGGAGCGGCAGTCCTCACCTCCTGGCATTTCTTTGGGGGGCACAGGCACCGACTCCTGAGATTAAAGCAGCGTGGGTGAATGAGATCCGCAAGGTGCTGACCAGCCAGCTGCAGGCTTGTCGAGGTAAGAATGTCTCCGCCATTCCTTTCTCCCAGCTTTACAGAGGTTCCAAGCAATCTCAGTACCTGAGATCTCATAATGTTTAGAAGTAAAGGTACCGGGGTCAAGTTCCCCAGCCATGCGTGGGCGGTTTGTTTGTTCTCTCCCCACAGAGGCCAGCCAGCACAGGGCGCTGGAGCAGTCCCAGAGCCTGCCTCTGCCAGCATCGTCCAACACGAGGTGAGGGGCACGTGCACGTGAGACGCCGTCGCATGGGAAGAGTCACAAGTGGGCATGTGCACAGGCCACAGACTTGCCTTGGCCCTCGTCACCTGACCCTCTTGGTGATGGGGTTCCTTTGCGTTTGCCCAGTGGCCCCTGGAGTCACAGGCTGGTGGGCTAGTCCCAGGGGGTCAGCTGCAAAGCTGTGTGTCTCTGGCCCCGCTCCCAGTCAAGGCCGGGCCCTGACAGCCCTCTCATCACTTTCTGTCCGTGGTTATTTCGCAGAGCGGTCAGCTATTCCATGACATAGCTATTCCAGGTCGCAGTTAATCGCCAGCATTTTCCAGACAGTGGCCCCTCAGACAGGGACCCGTCCAGGGCTGGAGGCTCAGAGCCACCACTCGCAGACGTGGGCACATTTCGGACACCAGCCTTCATGCCGGCTTTGTCCCAGCCTTTCTGCAAGCCCTTATGTTTCCTTTGACATTTTATTCATTCTCTTATTTTTTAACATATTGTTCCTGTTTCTTATATAAGCCACCTCTAAGCATGTGTGGGACAGGAGATGGTCTAAGTGAATAATCCACAGAACAATGGTTTTAAAAGAAAAAGACACCGCCCCCCCTTCACCCCCCCCCCCCCCAAAAAAAGACAAAACCGCCTTCTGCTCAATGGCTAGGAAGGTGGTTTTGTCCCCTTTGCGTTCCGTTTGGGCTTAATCTAGAAACGCATGGCCCCTCTGCAGTGGTAGGACACGTGCTTTAAAGTCTGGATAGGAATTCAGGGATGTGTGGACACCTCCAGTCCCCAGGGAGAGTTTTGAAAAACTAACCAGGCAACTGACTATTTCTTTTCCAATGTCTCTGACGCCCTTAGTCCTTCGAAAGGGAATGCAAGAAACGTCAAAAAGTTGGAAGAAAGAAAAACTGACCCCCTCAGCCTGGAAGGATATGTGAGCTCAACGACATTGCCAAAGCCCCCTGAAAAGGGCAAAGGTGGGTGTCTGCGGCGCCCCAGCCTGGGCGTACCGGGAGCTGCAACACAGGTGTCCACTAGTGGGCGTGTCAGGGAGGCACGGCCACCTGTGGGCCCGAGAAGCATTTGTAAGGAGCTCAGGGGTCCCCGCCCACCCCGCACAGAGCACTGGAACCTCCCAGAGGAGCCCCTCTTCCTCACGGTCAGTGCGCGCCCCAGTCCCGCAAACCCAGCCCCAGAGGTGAGCCCCGGCCTGACCCGACACGTGCCCTCCCCGGGGCCCCCTGGGCGGTGGACACGCTCTGCACTCTCCCTCTCTCTTCCTTTGTAGATGACACAGTCACTAGCTCTACCTCAGAAAGCTCTGCGCTTTCCAAGAAGCGCTTTACTCTGCAGGGCTTTGCTAACCTCAAAGGTCAGAAAGGTAAAAGGCACCCTCTGAAAACCGCTTCCTGGCATGTCCCTTGCCAAGGTGGCATGCCTCTCATCCATCTGTGTGGTGACCATTCGTGAGGACGCTCTCGGGAAGGACATCTGCCTGCCTCATCCCAAGCCCAGCCACTCGGGAGCATTTTCCCGCCGAGTCCCTTTTCCGCGGATACGGGTGTGTCTGGCCCCTGCAGCCCAGTGCCCTCTGGGGGGCCTTTTCTTTGAAAAGGTGGACGTGAACTTTTCCAAGGAGGCTTGCTCACCGACGACCTGTCATTTGCTTTTCTGGCCCAACCCCTCCCACAGCACCCTTCCCTTTCTTGCTTCTTCCTGTCCGTCCCTGTGGCATTCACCTTTCTGGCTGCAGTGACTGTCTATGCCAAAATGCCCAAGTGCTGCTGTCGGCTGCCTTCAGGGGGCCTTTGCTAGCGCCCGGGGCAGGTCAAGAGTCCCTTGAAGGAGACCTCTAAAAGCTTGACCACCTCTGAGGGCTCCTTGACAGTGAACTCTATGGGAGGGGGATACACCAAGATGGCTCATGAAGCAAGCCCCAAAGTTCCAGTGGGCCCTTACAGGACTCCCCAGTGGACACTAAAAGCCAGTGTTGTCTCAGTTTCTTTTCATTGGTCCAGACACTGGTCTAAAAAAATTAGAGGGTTTTTCCCCCCAATTTATAAACTACTTTTAAGGGAGCACCAATGGCCAGTGCCCCCCTCCTCTGCCTTACCAAAACTTAAAAAAAAAAGACAAATCCTGGCACTTTGCCAGAATAGAAAGTATATGCATAGCCCAGAAAATGTACCTAGAACTCAGAACATAAACCTAGACATGGCCCCCTAAAAGGATGATAGCGATGGCTAGAGTCAACTGCTCACCATCTCATCTCTCATTTTCCCTCGGGCTCTCCCTGCAACCGTGGGGTCCCTCAGCCCGCGTGGTTTTGTACCCAGGAAGCTACTTTTTGAATCAGTGAAAATTAGGCCATTCGCTGTTCGTGTCTCATCCCAGCATGGATTCAGTGTCTCTCATGACCTCCTCGGTGCTCTGCATGCAATTCCTCACTCTCTCTCTTCTCTCTGTTGTATTTTTGCCTCTTCCTCCTTCTGCAGCTTCTCCTACCAGTCCTGACAAAAAAGCTAAGCGACATGAAGTTAAGAGCGATCCAACGCCTTTTGGGTTACGAGGTAGAGTGGCTCAACCTTCTGGACATAGCCTGCCATCATTTTCCCGTCCGGTTAGGGACGCTGTCTGTCTTGCCATTGCACGTCATCTGGAATGCAAAACGAGATAGGTCTCTACGAGCCAAAAGCAAACTGTTTTGTCCAAAAGCATGATGCTCTGGCCAGTGATGCTGTGATGATGTCATACTCTGGGTTGAACTCCTCACACTAGGCCTGCCCAGAACCGACAGACGACTGACAGCTGGCTGGCGTTTGGGTTGGGTTGGGCTTCATTACTCAGTGGCTTTATAGGCTGCAAGGCACCCCTGTCCACAGGCCCCTGCAGCACCAGCCACCCCCTACTTTACCAGTTTATCCCAATGCTTCGTGGTGGAAACACAGAACACAGCAGCTATGGGATCCCATTAGACCTCTCATTTCACGGGGAGGTGGCCAATCATACAGACAGAGGGGGTCAAGCTCTGTGGTGGAAATTGGGCCTTCTCCCTTTTCACCCCTCATATTCCAAGGGTAAAGCCCCCCACCCCTGCCACCCAGGGAAACCCAAAGAGTCCCCTGGCCCAGGTTGAGGGTTTCAGGTTTTCAAAGAGGATTTCACTTTGTGAATCTACCTGAGTTTTGCCAACAATTGTGAAGGTTCCCGAGGGGAGTAGGCGGAGCTAGAATACCCACACTTACTGCCAGAGACCACCGGGAGGCCACCCAAGGCACACTCTGGCCTCCAACCACACTCTGCACCCTGAGGACGCAGGCTGCGGCCCTCCTGCTGCCCCCCGACATGACAGCCCAGGGGCCAGGCCCCTCTCCCATTGCCTTGGGGGGTGGGTGCACCCAGCTTGCCCCAGGAGCTCGGGAAGAGAGTCCTTTCCCATTGACAGTCTCCTGGGAGGGGCTGTTTTCCTCCCTTACACATTTTCTGCTTAAGACCTGGAGACCCCGGAGGCTTCCCCGCTGTGGTCTCGGGTTGCGTAGACGCTGGCGTGAGCGTCGGCAGGAGTGAGTGCGGGCTTGAGCACAGCCCAGTGCAGCTCAAGTGCTGCTTTTACTGCTTTTTAGCCAAATGTTGTCACCTCTGCAAGCTCGTCTCCTCATCTGTAAAATGAAGACGAGGCCACCGTGCAGGGTCACAGTAGATGTGTGGGAGTCCTGAGCACGGCACCTGGGGCTCAGCAGCCAGTGCTCCCCTCCTCTTCCTCGCCATTGACCACTTCAGTCCACAGCAGGTGACGATGAACCTGATGAACCCGATGAACTCGGGCGCTCCCCGCTGGCCCCCTTGCAAATGCTTAAGCGCTCACTTCCTGAAACGCTTCCCCGGCCATTGTTTCCCTCACTGTCAACACCTAGGACTGTTTGACAGGAAATAGGCGTGACCGTACTCATGGGCACCATGGCCCAAATGTCCACCTGCAAAACCCCCAACATCCTGCGTAGATCAGAGAGGGATGCCGTCCCGATTTGTGGTTGTTACACTGCCAACTGACAACGTTTTCTTGTGTCACACTTGGGGCCTCGGGCATAAGTGGGTCTCATACTTTCTGGCAACTCCCCTGTCACCTTGTTTGAAGGCAGGGACGCTACTGGAGCCTATTCAAGAGGTTCCCCCAGAGGCTCCCGGGCAGAGAGGGGGGTGACCACAGGCCTGGATGCTGCTCTGTGCCTAGAAAACCTTCTCTTATCTGCAGACGCCAGGGGCCTGAGTTGTTCATAAGACAAACACAACCAGGCTGCGCTCTAAAGCGAAGGTTGGCCTGAGGTCGGCTGGCCAGGCGGCACTGCCTCCTCTGCCCATAGGACAGTCTTCATCTCCCTGTCCTCACTGTCCTCAGACTTCTGCTCCTGTTTTGCCAGAAACCCCACCATATCTTTCGGGGTGGGCAGGAGGGGAGAAGATTTTTGCAGCCAGGCCACTCAGCCTGTGACCCTCTCAGCGTGCCCTGCCCAGTGCTCTCCTTAGCTTCCCACACTGTGTGACAACTCCAGACATGCCTCCAGCAGTCAGGTCGCGTGGTTTGTAGCCGGAAACTCACCAGCCCCAATTCCTGCACAGACACAAGCCTGGTAGTGACATGAGCAGGGCCGTGCTCAGCACACCTCCCTTTGCCCCAGCGCCCGGCCTCAGGTGGGCAGAGCTCAGGGGCTCTCCTGGCCTGCTGTGGAGGGGGCTTTCGGAGGAGCTCAGGGCTGCTGGCATCTGCTGGTTTCTTTGGCTCTGAGGACACCCCAGATACATGCTCTCTTCCTGGGATTCACTGTTCTGTGGCCGATGGGGAACTCTGGGTCGCAGATCCCTTTGCTAGGAAAGCAAAGACGGTTTTCTGTTGCCTCTTTAACACAAGGTTTTCATTGCCAAGCTTAAACCTTCTCAGCTTGGGAACTGGTCCATTAGACAGCTTGCCCCTTCGCAGCCCTGACTTCATAAAGGGGAGCATGCATTTTGCACTTGTCTGGCTGTGGTTTGGTCACACCCAGCGCCCTCTCTTTCTTAGGGAAAGGCCACCGTACAGGTAACTTGGAACTGGGTGTGCTTAAGCCCAGCTCTGACTAGCAGTCTGCTTATTTCCTGGGTCCGCTTGCTTCCTGTCGAAATGCTATTTAATGCCATGCAGTGGCTGTGATCAAACACCAGAGGGTGTGGCTTCCGCTTGGTGCCTCACTGCTGGCACTTACCCCATTTATTCAGAATCGAGAATTTATCACCTCCCGTCTCCCCACAACTTACTTGCATTCTCCCCCCACATGGGACATACAGTTGCTTCTCTTTGGGGATCCATGGCAGTAGAGGTGCTAATGAAGGAACATATATCATTTATAAAACTCCTCGTTTTCTGGCCCGTGGAGGTGGTGGAGCTCATGTGGGCTGGCTCTGCAGCCTGAAGGCCTGGGTTGGGATCCTGGCTTTGCCTCCATGGCCTGCAGCGCTCAGACACCTGATAGCGTCAGTCCCATGAGGATCACAACCCTCTTCCCTCACACGTCGGGGGCTAGGAGTGTGTCTGGAACAGGGCGCTGTCAGGAACCTCCGCCCTTTGTGTGGGGAGCTCTCCCGGCCACCTGGGTATTGAGTGGTACAGAGGTTCAATGGAAACACCTTCCCTTCCATGTGTTTGCTCCAACCCAGATGGGTGGCAGCGGTCTAGCTAGTGGTCTTCCAGGGTCCCTGTGCTCCCCTGGGACTGGGCCCAGCAGGCAGGAGGCCAAGTGGGAGTGCTCCGCCTCCTCTGGGAAGCCACAGGGCCTGCTTGGTAAGAGCTCATTCTCTCCCCTGATTGGCCTGGCCGTGAAGCAGGTGCTCTGGACCCCGCCTCCCTGGACCATTTGCACAGTTGAGCAAGCAAGCATGGCAGGCATTAGGGAAGTCGGCAGCGTGCCCTGCCGCCTGGGAAGGGGGCACGCTCCACACGGGCGGCACATTTCGGAGGTTGCAGGGATTTCTGTAGATCATCCTCAGACAGGCTTGTCATTGTGGGCGATCCTCACCGCAGTCTGTTCCTCCCTCAGGTTGGAGCAAAACATCTCACCCATTGGAGGCCCCTGAGGACAACGACGGCTGGTCGAGTGCTGAGGAGCCGATTAATTCCTCAGATGCGGAGGAAGAAGGCGGAGTGGGCCCCAGGAAGCTGGTAATCTCCCCCCTCCCCGCCTCACCCCCCGGGGTGGTCAGCCTGGTGCTGCTGGTCCCTGGGAGCCCCAGAAGCATGGTGGTCGGCAGCTCCCATGGCCACTGGGAGGCATGTTTAGTGCCAGGGCTCCCTGTTGCTGGATAGCCTCTGTGGCTAGGGTTCAGCACCTGGAGCAGAAGCAGAGGGTTTTGCGTGCCTCCCTCCGCAGGTTCCAGGGAAGTACACCGTGGTGGTGGACGACGAGAAGGGAAGCCCCAACACGCTGGCCGTGAGAAGCGGAGACGTGGTGGAGGTGGTCCAGGAGGGCGAGGAGGGCCTTTGGTAAGGTGCCCGCCGTGCGCTCCCCCTCGTGCCACTCGGGGCACACAGGCCGGAGCCACTGACCGGCCCACGCCCCTCGCAGGTATGTCAGGAACCTGACCTCCAGCAAGGAGGGCTGGGTGCCGGCCAGCAGCCTGTCCATGCTCCTCGGCAAGTCCAGCTCGGCGCAGTGCTTGAGCAGCCCAGGTAAGACCCCCCGTTCCACGCTGGCTGTGCCCTGAGCCCACCGGGTGTCACCACCTTGAGCCTGTGACCAAGGAAGAGGGGCCAGAGTGTGCAAGGACGGAGCCGAAGCCCTTCTCGCCTGGTTTTCCCGCAGAGTCCAGCGCAGGGTCCGCTCTGCTGAGCAACTCCTCCAGCTGCAGCGAGAGCTGCGGCGCCCCCCTCTCTGACCTGCAGGGGTAGCACCCGCCGGGCCCCCCGGTGCAGGAGGCCAGCCTGCGGACCCCTAAGTTTTCCTTTGCTTGGGCTTGCCTAGTTTGGTGAGGGGACGGTGCTCTAAGACGCCCTGGACAAGGAGGACCCTGACAAGACCCGGTCGAGGAGCTGCCGCTGCCCACGGAACCTCGTGGTGCAGGACGTGGGGACATGCAGAGCAAAGGCTCAGGAAGAGTCTGCCCTCCAGCCTCCACGCCAGGATCCCCTCCCAGGGCACAGGCCCCGGCTCCCAGGGGAAGACCAGAACACCAAGCTTCCTGGGAAAATCGGAAAGTCTGGGGGTGCTGCAGGCCAACAGACCACCTGTGAAGAAGGGCTCCGAGAAGGGGCCACCCCTTCCGGCCTCCGCCAGGCAGCCAGGGAGGAGCCGGTCCCCACCGCTCTGCTTCGGTTTCTGACATTTCTGGTCCGGTGCTTTCGCGGGGATGTGCATACTATGGGGCTGCTTCCAAAAGCCGTCACTGATTCACTGACCCAACAGCTTGAAGAGAGAGGGGGTAGGGGGGACTTTTTTGTCTTTTACACATTTTTTTTAAAGCAGGGACGAATCCCACGGCCATTTTTCATGGTACTTTGGCCTCTGATCTTTACCAAGAATCACTGTGTTTACATGAAATGACAATTTGATACCGCATTTGATATGAAACTATTTTTTTGTTACTGGGGTTTACATGGCAGCACGTTGTACATGCCGCAGAATGGTTTGGGGGACTCTCTCGTGGAAATTGACGGCAGCCTCTGAAGCCCACCTGGTAGCAGGTGAATGAAACTATGTCCCTTGATAAAATCAGGCAGCATTTCTACACACGAAAGCAATTAGAAACCAAGGAAATGTCTTTACCTGTGTAGTTAATTTTCGAAAGGACATTTAAACTATAATTTAAAATACTAACCTTCTTTTCTACAAAAAAAAAAAAGTGGGGACTCTTGATTTTTTTTTTAACAAGCTTCACTGAATTAGGATTTTTAAATTGTTTTTAAAAAAATACATAAAGATGCATTTTCTGCAGGGTATCATCTGAACCAATGATGTCATATGTAGCTTAGTGCAAACCTGAGCTCGACTCGCCTCTGCCTCTTCCAACCTCCTCCACCTGCACACGGAGTAAAATCGCCCTGCGTGTTCTGTATAAAATCACCCGGAGTATAGAAATTTAAAGGTGCAGAGTTTATTTTATTCCAATCAAAGCAGAACTGGAAAGAAAACTCTTCTGTTTTACCTTTTTTGTGTGTCTCAGAAACACCTTCTGTTCTTTGGAAACACGCTCTGTATCGGCTGGGGCAGATATTTTTATATGTGTGTATATATGTCGATGCGTGTACATATGTATCCAATGTAAGGGATGTATTTATAGCCTCCATGCTGCTGGAAATTGTCACTTTACAGCCCTCCCTGAGCCCGGGCCCTGCCGTAGCGAGGCCGACAGGCCTCCTCCCACCACCATGGGCAAGGCCTCATCGCCAGCCAGGCCTTGGAGTGTGGTAATAAACCAGTAAATGTGCAAGACCTGGCAGCTTTTCTTCTGGTGTATAAATTATTTGGAAAAAAAAATGATGTGTCTCATAATTTAATTAATATATTGATTGTTCAGACACCGTTCCTGCCATCTCAGCCCGGGATTGCCCACCATTTTTTGTGATCGCTTCCTCATAAAGGCACTTTAAAACCTCATGTCTTAGTCACTGTTTTGTGTGTTTTTTTTCTGCTGATGTAAATGAAATTTGAAAATCCGAGTTCTTTATTATATGGATGGAGTTTGAATAAATATCAGCAACTCTTGCTGTCTGCCTTCATCTGTAAAGGCGCAGAATCCCTCAGGTCTGCGTGCCCAGCACAGCAGTGCTCTGTTTTGCGCATCTACTCACAGGTTGGCAAGCACGTGTTCGAGCAGAAATGGGGCAGGCAGTGAGCATGTTCCAAACACTTTACGTTGTCAGAAAAGTGGTGAAGATGGAATAACAATAAGTTCATTATGTATGTCAACAATATAAAGGTAACAAAAGAAATGTAAAATTACCATCCCAGAACAAGAATACATTTGATAACTTTTAAACCAGAAAGGTAGAGAAGAAAGAAGGGTCCAGTAGAAAAAGAGTAGGGTACAGAAAGGGAAAAATCATGATGAACTGGAACACAAAAGATGATGGAAGAAATAAGTCCAAATATTTCTCAGTCGCAACATATATGATGATGCTAAACTGACCTATGGAAAGAGTATCAAATTGGATGTAACAATTGCTAAGAGAGACCATAAAACAAAGTTATGCAAAGGTTGAAAATAAAAGAAAGAAAAAAGATGTAACAGACAAATTATAACCAAACGGAAGCTGGGATAGCAATGTTGATAACACATGAAATGCAATTTAGGACTTGGTTAAGCATATAACAATTATGCTCAAAATATAGAGAGCAAAGATTAGCAGTCAAGGGTGAAAATGTTACCTCTCACAGGTATTAATACCCATTTGTCCCCTAAAAGTATAAAATATGTATTATTTTCCAACACACATGAAATACACACACAATTTTAAAAAACAATGAAAAGACAGTTTTAAAGGTTAGCAAAGAAATGTCATTGGAAATTCTGATATCTGCAGGACTACAGAATTATGCATATGAGCACTCAGGAGTGCAGCTAAAGCATAGCTCAGAGTGGCATTGATAGCCCAGCTGCATTTAATGATAAAATTAATGAGTTTACCATTTAAAGAAGCTAAAAGTAAGACCAATATAACTCAAAGGAAGTATAAAGGAGGAATTAGTACAATTCAGAGAAGAAAATAATAAAAATCAAAACAAATTGATAAAATAAAAACCTTGTTCCTTTAAAAATAATAAAATACAGCAATTGATAGGAAAAAAACTTCACAACAAATAAAGGTTTTAAAATGAGAGAACCATTATGAACAACTTTCTGCCAATACATTTGAAAGCAAAATAAGAATTTTTTAAAGAAAGCAAATTATTAAAATTAATCAGGAAGAAATAAAATACTTGGGCTGATTAATAACAAAGAAATTGACTTGCAGTTTAAAAAAATTACTCCAGATCCCAGGCTCAGATGGTTTTATGGGTTTAGCCATCTCTTTAAGAAGAAGAATCCAAAGAAAGTCAAGAACAGAAATGTCTCCAAAAAGGGCTGTGGCTAGGAGGAGCAGTCTAATGCTAAAATATCTTTTCCTCCATCCTCCCTCCTCCAAAAATAAATTCCTAAACAATTATTAAAAACTAGAGGCCTGGTGCACGAAATTCATGCACGGGCAGGGTGGGGGGTGTCCCTCAGCCCAGCCTGTACCCTCTCCAATCTGGGAACCCTCGAGGGATGTCCAACTGCCGGTGGGCCCGATCCTAAACGGGCAGTTGGACATCCCCCTCACAATCCAGGACTGCTGGCTCCCAACTGCTCGCCTGCCTGCCTGCCTGCCTGATTGCCCCTAACTGCTTCTGCCTGCCAGCCTGATCACCCCCTAACCACTCCCCTGCCAGCCTGATCAACCCCTAACTGCACTCCCCTGCCGGGCTGGTTGCCCCCAACTGCCCTCCCCTGCAGGCCTGGTCCCTCCCAACTGCCCTCCCTTTCAGGCCTGGTCCCTCCCAACTGCCCTCCCCTGCCGGCCATCTTGTGGTGGCCATCTTGTGTCCACATGGGGGTGGCCATCTTGTGTGTTGGAGTGATGGTTAATTTGCATATTACTCTTTTATTAGATAGGTTTCCAGAAGTGCCTGACTGGCGTGACTCAGTGGTTGAGCGTCAACCCATGAACCAGGATGTCAGGGTTCAATTCCCAGTCAGGGCACATGCCTGGGTTGCAGACTCCATCTCCAATGGGGAGAGGGGAGGAGGGGAGGGGGGAGGAGGCAGCCAATTTGTAGCTAATGATTCTCTCTCATTATTGGTGTTTCTATCTCTCTCACCCTCTCCCTTCCTCTTTGAAATCAATAAAAACGTGTTTTTAAAAATTCCATAGGTGATCAATAAAACAGCTCCTCTAAGGACTGATTCTTCCTGTTGGCGAGTAGGGCTGAGACCGGCCGGAAATAAGCAGCACTGGTGTCCCCAGTCTCCACCCATTCACAGAAAGGATATGATTTCCACAGAGGCAGCCAGGACAGGGAGTTGCCCTAGCTGTGCCCTGGGACCAGACGGAAAGGGAGGGACAAGACCTGGATGCTGGGGACAGAAGGGTGCCATCTGTAACTAAAACAGAGTTGGGGGCCCAGCTAGGGGCAGATGCCCCTTTCCCTGGGCTTCTCCACCGGACGCTCTAGTTCCCCTAAGAAACCACGCCTCCGAGAGGAGGACAGCCCCATCCGTCTCCTCGGTGGCTCCCTTAAAAACATTAACATTCACACTCAACACATGCTCTCCTTTGACTAGTGTGATTACTGTGGGCTGTGGCTTTTCACTGCAGTTTAACTCTGTTTTCCCAGTTGCAGTGATAGATCTATGGGCTTCAAAATCCTAAACTGCATTGGAGATGCTTGTGCCAGATGCATATCCTAACACCTCCATTTCGAAGAACGAACCTCTGCTTCAAAGACTCAGCCATGCTACCTGGGCCTGGATTCCTGGACCCGGCGTCCTGGGCTCAGGCCCGGTCCTTCCGCTCCTGATCCCGCCTCCAGCAGCCTTTGGCACGGAGGGCTTGGGAAGCTAGGTCTCCCTCCCCCATCCCTCTGGGTAATTTGAGAACTTTGCTCACCTCCCCCACCAGAATGTCAACAGACAAGGAAGGACACCATGGACCTCACCACGTCTGCCCAGCCTGGTGGGCTGGCCCTCCTCTGCTTTCTGCTGGGTCTGCAGGGGTCTCTGGCTGCAGGTATGTTGGGTGCTGGAGAGGGTGGGTGGAGGTTTCGCTATGGACCCTGTGAGGGCAGCCCAGCTGTTGGCAGCCAAGCCTCCCAAACCTCGCCCTCACTCCTGTTAACAGGGACATTCCTGCTCACAGGAGCATTTGCTGGCTCGAGTGTGATCTGCCCTCCTCCCAACAGCAAACAGCCCAGGCTCTTGCTGGCTGTTGGTGGAAAGAATGCTGTTGATGGCACAGGCTTTGACAGAATTATTTTTCAAAGGTTTTTAGGAACCCGTGGCGCTGTCCTAGTCCCTGGCGGCACAGCTCCAGACGTGCAGCTAGACAAGAGCACGTAATCTGGGGGTGGGGGGTGCTTCCCTCTTGCTCTGCCTTCCTGGGCTTTCAGTTGGCAAGCGCCAGGGACGGCGTGGGGATGCTGGGCTGCGCTGCTCCTCCACCGTGGCTGTGACTGTGGCCACCCTCCCGCCCTGCAAGGGTGCTGAGAGGCCAGGGAGGGAGACAGGGGGCACACTTTATGAGCCGTCCGCGTTGTGACTTCACAGTACTGAGTGGTGGCCCTGGTGGAGACAAGGCGCCTACACTGTCCTCTAAAATCTGGTCCATGTTGCTCTTCAAATCCCGTCAAATCTCGCAGTGGGAAACGAGCCGGGGATCCCAGTAGTGGTCGCCTGCCCCGGTGACTACAGGTGCCCAAAGGAGACCGTGTCCTGCTCCAGCGGAAGTCGGTGCTGCCTTGTCCTTTCTTATGTCAGGAAAACAGTGGCAGGTGGTGGGTTTCATCTCCCTCGTTCTAGTCTGTCTTTTCCAAATCCTCTGCAGTAGTTTGTGTTCCTTTGTCAGACTTGGCTCCGGGTCTCTGAGAGCTTTTCGGGGCACAGTTGCTCCCCTCCATGGGGACAATTCAGCCCTGGTTGAATCATCCCAGGAGTCTCCATTCTTTGATTTTCCCTCAAATTCTTCCAAACCTGGTAGATTCCCTAGGAATACAGACAGGTGAAACTCTGCTGTTAAAGAGATGTGGTCTCCGTCAGCCTGGTGGCCCGGGAGCGGGCACTTCCCCTCCTCCCCCTGTTCCCACACGCTATAACCCTCTCCAAAGCGGGTCTCGGTTCATCTCTCCTCTGGGACTCTTAGTGGAAGGTGAGGGATTGTCCTTCAAGTGTGTGATCCTGAAGGGAGAGAGAGCTGGTGGTGGCAAAGCAGAGAAAGGGTTTCGATGAGTTAGCAGAGAGAGAACTGACCACATTGGGATGTCACCCGAGTTCCAGAGGAGCTGGAAGGACAGGTCCAGCGTGCAGCAAACAGGACCAGTGGGCTTTCAATGGAGACAAGAGACACCCAGCCCCTCTTCACCTGCCACCCCCCACCCCGCCCATGTGGCCCCATAGGACCGTCCTCCCCCATAGGATCCGCCAGCGCATGCATGCAGCAGCTCTTGATGAAATGCTCTAGGTGCCAGGACACAGCAGATGCAAATTTTTATTAGAGAAGTTACACGTGTGGATCGTATACATTTTGGAACAGAATAGCTGCGGATCCCCAAGGTTAATTTATGTACATTCTTTCAATAAATGACATTTGCTCATATGTAAATTTTTCCTTGTAAAAATTATACAGTAGGTATTGTTTTATTACCTTCTTTTTCACTTAATACCACATCTTCTTAAGCATTCTGCTTCCTGGCGGCATGGGATGCCATCATCTGGTTGTTTCAGATGATTACTAGCAATAGCTCTCCTGTGGCTAAGTTTTCGTGCATGCCTCTGAGTATAGGATAAATTCCTAGATGTGAGGGGACCAGGTCAGAAGGCATCAGTGTGTTAAATTATCATTTAATGAACATATTGCCTCATC